TCAATACAAACCGCGTTTGTAGTCAATAACGCGTGACAGTATCATTATTCTACGTTATACACATTCAGAAATAAGGTACTTAATGATAGATACCTTCGACTGGGGTAAATTATCGGCAAATATAAAGTTACGTTACTGGTGTCAATGTAATTTGTTTCTCTTCATGATACTTTATAATTCAGTGTGACCTCCTTTCGTAGAGGAGCAAATATAAGCTCGAATTCTTCTGCTATGGTACAGTATATAGCCAACTCTTTGACATACGGACAAGCAGAAGATATCTTACAGACGGCAAGTGCGCAAGCAGAACCGGTATCCTAGCAACACTCACGCTTTGTTACGTTACGCTTATGAATAAGAGATAGTAACGGCTAGAGGAGAATTAGTTCTGCTACCGGAGAAGATTTTTATGCAAAAAAAATGATAATATATTGTTCACTTTGTGTGTGTGCCAGAATTTTTCATGTAATGCTGAATTATTATAAAAACGTACACCTGTATGTTGTGTATTACTTGCGTTCCACACTAAAATTTACGCACAGATGATTTCGTTTCTCGCGGAATAAATGAGCAATAGTTTACGTATGTTCCCCCAGGGCCGATCACGATAGCCGCGCGTTTTAAGGCATGAACTGTCTTCGCCCGCTCAAATCATGGGTTCGAATCCCACTCATGGTATGGATGTCTATGTGTCTTTATTCTGTATCTGTGCTGTCCTGCGTTCAGCTAGCGGCCTTACGATGGGGCTGATCCCCCGTCCAAGGAGTCCTACCGACTCTGTAAAAGATCAAAAAACTGAAAAAGCGGCTAAGGCCCAACAAAAGGCCGTAGAACCATAGGTAGGTAGGTAGGTAGGTAGGTGGGTAGGTAGGTAGATGTTCCACTAGTTCCCTTTGTTCACAGTTTCTAATGACCCCGTTTAAGAGTAGTTTGAGTTGAAAGTTCAGGACAGGCCTTCTAACAAACTTCGCGAAGATCGAACCTTGTCCCGGGTTCGATCCCGGATCTGGTCAAGTGGGATTTGTGGTGGACAAAGTGGCGCTGGGGCAGGTTTTCTCCGAGTACTTCGGTTTCCCCTGCCAATCTTCATTCCACCAATTGCTCCACAATCACCCTCACCTATCATCTGGGGCTGGTACAATAGGCCAGAAGTGGCCGCAGTACAAAGGACTTAGTCCCACCCCACTAGCGTTAAAAAAAAGATCGAACCTTTCACTAAATTCTGAATTGCACTGCACAGTATGGGCATACAAATGAGGCAGTCTACTCTCTTCGCCCGAAATTTAAAAAAATATATATATAATTTGCAGATATTTGTTCGTGTCCTTTGTCAGAAGACGACAAAATGTACTCTGATGTTTTGGACCTTCTTATCTTCCCCCGCTCCTGTGTTTAAGTTCTGTAGCTGGTCAATATGGACGAATATGATCTGTCCCATATAAATCTGAAATTACGCAGAGCTGATATGTAACATAACTTTCGCAGAGCTGGTTGCTCCAGAGACAACGGGAGATGATCGGTTGGAATTTCAGCCTGTACACCGTCTATCCTGAGTGAGACATTTCATAGTGTTCTCAGTACCTCCCGGCAAATGTCGGGATGTTATCACGGTTAGGTGAACAGCGCTTCCTTCCAAACTTGATGTTCGGAATTCATCTGTTGTCTCGTCACATGACGCCGCATAATCTCTGTATTGGAAAGCGTCGTTATAAAGAAAGCAATATTTACAAAACCCCAAAATTTACAGAAATTGATTTATTAAAATGTATGAATTTTATTAAAAATTAATCAACTTCTATTCACAGAAATTGCCCTGTTGATTATAATTGTGTTTAAAGACATGCACAGAACATAAGAATATTTATTTTTTTAAAGAAATGTGAAGGCGACATTCTATTAGTTCGGCAAATTTATAGTTATCAATCTAACACACCGCTCTAAGCTAATCTTCATAAATAAATATGATTTGACTTCTGGTGCCAGCTGAACCAGACAAATTCCCATGAAGGAGGTGCTGAAAATTAAAATTTCAACTGCTGAAAATGCGCTTTTCACTCCTGAAAGCCAATATCTTATCTGCATTAAAGTTGGTACAAATATATCATAAGCACACGCTCTCTCTGCGATTTGAACAGGTTGAAGTTGACAAAAAGAAGTTCTTCTTTAATAACTTCTGATGTCTTTCTTTGTGTGGTTATAATTTAATCGATTTACCCCTTTCATGGCTTGTGATTTTGAAGTGCTAATCCCTTGTGTAAAACCTCTCATAGCTTTGTAGGTTATACATGTTACCTAGTCTTTTTAGATCAGTGATAACGGGGCCCTTACAACGGGCTGAGCATGCGGTTAGGTTATGAATCACGAGGCCTGCGTAAAGAATTTTCTTAAGGAGATATCTACTACTTTAAAGACTGTAGAGGTGATCAGAAATAACTCCGTGATCTGTAGTCCGCAAGCGAAATATACCGACCGCTTGTCGGCGAAGTTAGTGCCAACTTCAGCGGCTAGAGAGTGTTGCGTGGTCAGTGCAACGGATCCCCACGGCTGTTAATCTCGGTTTTCTAGACCGGATTCAGAAATACTATAATAATGAATTTTAAGGGCCTCGGGGGTGGATAGAAAAGGCTCAGCAATGCTTTCAATAGCGCATATCGCCACTGATGGGCCTCCCAGTTCTGCAGAGTAAATATGCTTTATTTATATAACAAGGCACAGCATATCCGAACTATGTCCTTGAACAATGCACCTGTCCTACGTTCTGAGGCCCTTGTACTATCTCAGTGGCGCCTATATGAAAGTTCTTCTCATCTTATCTTACAATAGGAACGTATCTTGAAGTCTCGCTACAAGTACATAGTAAAAATTATTTCTGTTTGCTACACGCGCTTGGTTAAATTTATTTGCCAACAAAGCTCTCTTGTTTACATGCTCGGCTGGGCAGAATTGCTCTGTATTTTATGATATGTTACGGACGGAGTATTAGTGCAAAAATGCTGTATCGACATATGTAGTTCGCTAGCGGATCTACAGCACAATTGTGAAGCAAATTAAATTGCTGCCATGTCCTGAACTTATTAACTTCAGTTATAATACGGCACCGCATTCAGTGCCAGGCCCATCGATTTTCCTCCAGTAATAATTTTCTTCAAAACTCTAAATTTGTGCTCTGTCTTTAAGTTGAAAAACTAAGTCTTTAATACAAAACAAGTAACATTCTATATTTGTTGCATATTTTAGTGCTGAGGTTTTTTTTGGTGGCAATAAAAAGACAAAATAATTATGATCTCACATATAGCAGACCCTTGCTGTATTTCCTCATCAGAATAACATCATGAACGAGACTAAGTCCCTTGTACTGCGGCCACTTCTGGCCTGTTGTACTAGCCCTAGATGATAGGTGAGGGTGATTGTGGAGCAGTTGGTGGAATGCGAATTGGCAGGGAAACCAAAGTACTCGGAGAAAACCTTGCCTCAATGTCACTTTGTCCACCACGAATCCCACATAACTAACCCGGGCCGCCGCAGTGGGAAGCCAGCGACTAACCGCCTGAGCCTTGGCACGGCCATAGCTACACACGGACGAAATGTTTTGGTATTAATATAAACATATTCAAAAAAAATTCTTCACTGAATGTAATATATTTTTTTGTGAACGTGGTAAAAGATAAGTTCACTTAAGAGGCGAATAAAGGAATTCTAATTTTGTTAACCATCTGACTCGAATGATAAGTGCAGAACAACTATTGTTCTTCTTGTTCTTGTAAGGTCGAGATCTTCCAATGACAAGATGAAAAGCGGCGAAGTCCATGAGCAGCATCGTCTGTTACGTAGCAAGTGGACATGTGTGTTCAAAAGAACGCGTTACGCTTTGTCACTGAATAATAAAGTAAAAGGTGAAGTTGTCCATGTGCTTAACTAATTAAACACTACACCATGAAGGCGTATTTAGGAGTGGATGTATAGATCCATATTTTCTTGACCTCTACACTAGTTGGAGGTGAGTAGTCGGCTCCAGGTCCCTACCGCTTTACCCCAGGGGAAAGAGCCCCGTATGTCCATTGGATAGGAGATTGGGTGAGCCCCAGAGCCGGTCTGGACGACGCGGAGAACAGAAAATTCTTAACACTATCGGGACTCGAACTCCGACCCCTTGGTCGTCCACTCCGTACTCAGTCGCTATACCGACTACGCTGTCATAGCACCTTGTCACTGAATAATACAAGGCTTAAAATTCGAAATGTTACCGTCGAAATCACCGTATTCAGAAGCGTCTAATTCGAGTATCATGCTTAAGATTGGATGTCTCGCTTGAATTCTTATAGGTTTTCCTCAGTCACACCAGGGAGAAGCTGGGATATTGTGTTAAAATATATCACGATTATTTTTCAGAAGTGTTTTAGTTGAACACAATTTAGCACGTTTGACACCAAAAAGTAATTAAATAACTTAAGAGCTTAAACACAAGTTGTAACTTGTTCATTCCTGGTGCATTGTGGGATAGGATGGCCACTAGAACTGTTTCCTTCTACGTATAGAACATGGCATAAAGGTGATTGAAAACATAAAGTGATGACTTGAAAGGATTCTGACGATGATGTATGCTGTACAGAAGTATTAGGCTTATTTTGGACTCTATCCGTCGTCTGGTTTGTCTTAAGGCGCGTCCACATTACTCGTGCTCGTGTGACTCGCTATGCTCGCGAGTAATGTGGACGATATGACAAGTCACGAGACAAGCAAATTTTTATTTTTAATTTAAAAACTATAGTTAATAAATTAAAATACGACTACGTCCTATACACACTACGAGTAAATATATGGGCCCTCACATTAAGAGTCAGTTAACACACTCTTCCACCATGTACTTCACATATGTGTTATTTGTATAACATCGGTTGTTAAACAATACATATTCTGTTTCTAAATAGCTTTAATTCCGTGTTGTATGCACTGCATAAAACATTGACCTCCAAGTCCTTTGCGTTTCGATTGTGTTTCAGGTGAGGGAGCATTCTGGAGATAACGCTACAGCGAAGCACACATCACACGCTCCCGTCTAAACCATAACCGATAGAAAACTTCAGGTCTGAGAATGCTAACATTTCCTGAATTCAAGATATCTTCGAAGTGCTATTGGTTTGTGCGTGTTACTGGGGAATTTACGTTTTACTGCGAGGATAGACCACTACACGAAGTACGCTGTAGGGATTCTTGCTGTTTATCGGACAGACTTCTGAAAATGTGATCCAAAATCAGAATATTTAACAACATCATATCAATTATTATTTAGCGGGGTTTGTTCAGTGTCTTGTAATACATTTATATCAGTATTCATTTAATTACTATAAAAAGTGTACAGTCAGTAACACGCAAAATAATATCCTTCTCTAGTGAATTTGGAAGTAATATCAAGCGCATCAGAATATCATCTTTATGGATATCTGATACTACTACGTGTCAGAGTCAGAATATTAACTGACCTATGTAACGAATTTGTCTTTAAGTAAGATTGAAAGCAATATTCTGAAAGTGAATTTCGTGTCAGATCTCCCCATTTGCCATGGCCGCTTCTGACAGAGTTTCAATTAAGGAAATTGAGGAAAGTGACAGACTGAAAGAGCTCCTAAACCACACAGACCTACTGAAAGAGGTGGAGTGCTATTCAAAGGATGCGGATTCCACTGGAAGCGGAGAAGCGTCGGTCCTGTTCTGTCCGAACTTCTATGACACACTACTCTGCTGGCCGAAAACACCGGCCGGAACGCTGGCAGTTCTGCCCTGTTTGGAGGAACTGAACGGCATCAAGTACGACACCACACGTGAGTATTCTCTCATATTTTGTTTCTTGTTGTCTTTACAGCAGTTTCTGAACATTGTCTCATCATATTTTTGTATAACAGAAACATAATCTGTGATTTCCTTTGAATCATGCAGCATTTTGTCTCCTACATACTTTTACACTATACAGGTGATTCATTGGGGCACGCGGTAGCGTAGTTGGTTGAGGCACTATGCTACAAGCCTGGAAGGTCGCGGGCTTTGATTTTCAATTGCCCAATATTTCCAGCTGCAAAATGTCCCTGGGGTCGACTCAGCCTCTAACAGAAATGAGTACCAGGAAACTCCTGGGGAGTAAAGCGCGACCGGCGCCTTGGGCTGATAACCTTACCGCCATCTGTGAGCCAATTGTCTAGATAATGTGGGAGCCTCAACGCCTCATAACCCTGTGGATCTCCACGGCTTGTTACAGGGATAGCTTTACCTTTTTAACCTTTATCATAAGAGCAATATAGATACATTTCTCTCAGCGTCAGGCCCCATTTACCCTGAAATGGTTCCACTGAAACACCTCCAGGTTATCTACTCAGCATATTCGCTTTAGAATTAGATTATGCCTTAAACTTGCCTGCGCTGTTTAATGTCATAGCACACCTGATCAGTCTGGAGCCGGTGTAGCTCAGGCGGTGGCAACGAGAGGAATAATCTTTTATCTGTGGGGAAGAGCTCGGGTCGTGTAGCGAATGTTACGGGTCGGACACTTGTAGAGTTTAGGTTCTATTCCCGCGAAGGAAAGAAAATCCAATATTCTCCACACCTTCCGGACCGGCCCTGGGCCCCACCCAGTCATGTATCCAATGGGTACCGAGGACTCTTTCATCTTGGAGTAAGACGGCCGGAGTATGAAACTGACCACTCACCTCTATTTAGTGAGGAGTTTGAGAATGAGTGAAACTTTATTCGCCCTTCCCAGGCCTCAGGCCGTGGAAATAAGCACACAGCTGCTTGGCCGAATAGGATTTAAGAATTAACGTTGTTAAATTAATATACCAGCAGAACAAAATATATTTCTGGATGATTGTCGTTACTTAATAACAACTATAAGGCTCTCTGTCGTTCGAAATATCTAATTATCATGCTTACTAGTGTAAGAAGAAAAGCCGAATTGGATTGATTACGAATCAGACATGGGTATCATGGACTGTTTAACGACGCTTTATTAGCTGCAACGTTAGTTTTGTGTCGGATGTTTATAAAGTTTTATGGACTTCAAAGTACTGGGGAGACAACGATCGTGACATGTCTTGATGTATTATCGCAACACTTTTTTAGAGAGAAGAGAAAATCATGAAAAACTTGTGGAGTATTAATCTGTTTCTTGGCGGTGATTCAAAAAGGGCATCTTTCAAATAAATATCGGAAAAAGTGCGTCTTGAGACAAGCAGCAAGATCTAGCCTGTGTTACTGAAACATCCAATTATGTTTATTATTTGTTATGTGAATTCTTCTTCTATTCCTGTTGCTCCCACTTGGAGCATAGGGCATCCGTGAAATTCTTCGTTTCATGAAAAGTTAAACCATTCCGTCCAGTGAGACTGGTGAAGATTTTTCTTGTGTCAATTATTTATGCCCTCACATGTTTCGGTCTTCAAGAGACAATCATCAGAGGGACACCTTTACATCAATACAGTTGGAAGCTACTATTACAGTACATGTTCTGAAAGTTAAAATGTATACATATAAAATAATAGTTACTATAGGATTCTGACGATGGTGTATAACACACTGAGATATTGGGTTTTCGGACTCTATCCATCGTCCTGGTTTTGAAGATAACTAAGAAAAACACGACGTTTCGGAAACTGGATCTGTTTCCGTCCTCAGATGAGGGAAAACACCTATTCTGTTGGGTCCCTTAAAAAAGAGCTAGCCTCAATCACTGGACCAGTGACCACGCTCACCTGAGGACGGAAACAGATTCAGTTTCCGAAACGTCGTGTTTTTCTTAGTTATCTTAAAAAACAGGACGATGGATAAAGTCTGAAAACCCAATATCTCAATATACAATTGAGTATAAAATCTAAAGTCTTTACAACTACAGCGGCTGTTCCAGTACTTTAAAATATTTATAGTTACTTTGTTAAGATTCTATTGGAATTCGTAAACCGAGCGGGTTCGTGTCACCCCTCTTATTATTTCTTTTGACGGGGGCCGAACGTGTGCCGCCTGTCGTTCTCGAGAAGAGGGTTCTTGATGTTGCCCTGTATGCGTTTGTGGGGCGCCGTGTTTATTGGTTTCACTTCAGTTTCTTTAAGTTAGACAGTCAGTATGACTCCTTGGACGGGGAATCAGCCCATGGGAAGGCTGGGACCTATAACAATCACAGAGTAAACACAGATATCCCTGCCTTGAGTGGGATCCGAACCCACAATCCCAGTGTTAGAGCGGGAGAAGACCGTGCGGCCACTGTGATCAGCAATTACACTGATCATAGCTGTGGAAATACACCCGAGGAAAGAACAAAGAAGCGATCACTGAACAGAAGGAGAGATAAGATAAGTAAGCTCATTTGTTTGTCTGTAAAACAAAGAATCAATGATTTGTGACTAAGTATCAAATACAATGCACAGAAATAATGCCGAAACCAACCGCATCGGAAGGAACAAAGCGTTTAAGGTCAACACAGATGTCGTGTTCATGTAAACACATTATCTGTGGTGGAGCAGTTCATTTGACCATTGTTAATAACGTAGCATACGCAAAGCATTATGATGTCTTTACTTTAATTTATGGCAAACAAAATGGAGACCGCCAGCCATTTTAGCGGGAAACGTGCATACACACTTAGTTGTATTTACATGCACGTTGTGTTCAGCTAATATTTAATTTGCCTTGCGTTTCATAATATGTACAGAAGCCGTTCCAAACTGTAAGACTTAATTTCCGTAAGAAGAAATGCACGAGGCAATGGAGATTGTGTAAGCAATATTTGGTTTGTTTCCCCTGCGCTTTTCACTTCTTTTATTCGTGATTTTCCAAGCCATCACTCTAGAGGGAGACAGACTGTCATCAGGATGTCTCTCTCTTAGTAAAATGTCATCAAAACAACCCCCTCCGATGACTTGCAAATAGCAGTCGTGACATGAAAGCACCCCTCAATATTGTGAGGATTTTAGCGAGGTCAAGTCCCATGAGGTAAGTGAGACCGAATTTAAGTTAGTGTTGTCCAGGACATTATCAACACAACCTACAGCTGTGCCTCAATCACTGAAAGAGAGTAGGAAAATTATCAAGATTAAGTTTATCAGGTCAGAAGTCCTTACATACCCTCTTTAATATTTACCAGGTCTCGAAGGATTTCATTAGACTGAAAGCCAATTTATAAAACAGTAATTATTAAGCTCATGTAAAGATTACAAGTAATATGTTTTTGGACATTAGCTATCGTCTTGTCTATTTTTAAAAAACCGTCCTGTTTCTTTTTTCAAAACACAATATTTCGGAGACTAGATTCTGTTCCCATCCTCAAGGGGAGATCTCCGGAGACAGGGGCTAGCTCTGTCTATTGGACCCAACTGAGTACGTTTTACCTGAGGACAGGGACAGAAACCAGTCCCCGAAACGTTGTGTTTTAAAAAAAGAAACAGGACGGTTTTTTAAAAATAGACAAGACGATGGATAATGTCCAAAAAAACATAATACTTATAGCAATATACCATCGTCACAAACTTTTAGAGCTCATGTAAAGATTAGTTAACAAAAGGTTCCTACCACAAAGGAAACGTACTGTGTGCTTGCAACTTTCATGGATAATAGCGCGATGATTTCTAAAGGAGGATAACTCTTCAGGCAGCTCGTACACCACGTTCTGCTGTTCTTAGATTGCCACGAACAATTTTGGCCCACAAATTGAATGCGCAATTCTGACTAGGGCTTGTGTGTCTACATCGCCGATCACAGTGGCCGTGAGGTCTAAGGCTTGAAGTGTCTTCGTTCTCACAAACACTGGCAACGTGATTCGAATTCCACTTGAGACAAGGATGTCTGTATGTGCGTTTATTCTGTGTTCGTGCTGTCCTTTATGCAAGTAGCGGCCTTGCGACGTGCTGGTCCCCCGTCCAAGGAATCCTACCGACTTTATAAAAGATTAAGAAACTCAAAAAGCTGCCAAGATCCAACAGAGGGCTGTAGAGCCATAGATACATGTTTCCCTATCTTGCTTAGCAACGCCTTATTCAGTAACATATAAGTGCCGTCCAGTACTAAGTAGTTGCTTTTCTTTCATTTCGCGGTTCTGTCAGTATACAAAGTATGCAGAGTCTAGCTGTAGGGTGACTGATGAATTAAAAATTGAAGACGACTTGGAAGGAAGCGGCCGTGGCCTGATTTAAGAACTAGCCACGTTGTTTCCTGGAGAAGTTAACGAGAATTACTTAACCTTAATCATGACAGCGAATGTGTTCTCCGGGATTCGAATCAAGCACCTCCCTAATAAAAGTCCAGAGAGTTACATATACTCCATCCTGCCCGGTGTAGTCACTTTTGAAATACAGATATCCTCTAAGCGCTGTGGAGAACTTCAGTAAAATACACGTATATCTCTATGCAGTAAATTCTATGTTATATGGCTCCTGTAATTTGCTTTTAAGCTCAGTGTTCTGTTAATTTTGTTAAAATATGTGTAACATTGGTCACCAAACTAATAAGTTTACATGTTCTGAAACGTAATGTCTTTCAGAACTCTAAATATTATATTACAAATACGAGACACTCTTCAGGCCTGAGTTTAAGAGGAAACCCTGTAGTCTCATTATTCAAAGTGACTCAGAAGTGGTGGTGGTATTTGATTCAATGGCAGTCTTTACTTATTTCGAAAAGTGATTAAAATTTACTTAATTTTCCGGTGCTGTTTGTCGTACTGGTTTATTAGTTAGCATCTTGGCTGAAGGAACAGGCATAACTATGCCAACAGTTCTTTATGATTCTTAATTCAGACATAAATGTTGAATAATGTCCTGATTTTTCGTCTGTCTGTCGGAGG